ACCAACACCGCCACGTGGCACAGCAGCTCCCACCACCAAAAGCTACCCCCACGATGTACCAGGGGCACTGAATGTGGTCAGAGATCTCCTGAACTTTCTGTCCAGCAGACTGCAACCAGAGTGCCCAGAGCAGAGAATGTCTTTTTGCAAGCACAGTGGTTCTACCCCGGGGGTGATTTCTGTCTGCCTCAGGACACCTGGCAATCTCTGGAGACAACTGGAGTAAAGACTGGAGGGATGTATTGACATCTAACGGGCAGAGGCCAAGGATGCTGCTTCTGGTTTATGTTTTGGTGTTTTGGCTATGAACCCAAGTAGGATCCTAGCTCCCCAACCAGGGACTCAGCCTGCACCCCCCCCTGCATTGGGAAGCAAAGTCTTAGCCACTCAACCCCAGGGATGCCGCTAAACATTGTGCAATGCACAAGACAGTCCTCACAACAAAGAATTATCTGGTCCCCAAAGGTCAACAGTGCTAAGGTTGGAAAAACCCTAGCCAAGAGAAACAAGATCAAGAAAATCTATTCTCAACCTCCTGCATGTGTGCTCACTCAGTCATGTCCAACTCTTTGTGACCCCATAGACTAACCCACCAGGATCCTCTATCCATGGGATTTCCCAGGCAAGAATACTGGAGCAGGTTACCGTTTCCTACTGCAAGGGATCTTCCCGACCCAGGGATCAAACCTGCTTCTCCTGTGTCTCCTGCATTGGCAGGTAGATTCTTTACCACTGAGCTACCTGGGAAGCCCTTCCTAGACATAACCCTAAAATGAATCAAACCAGCTATAGTTAGATTTATGTCTCCATTCATGTGCTGAAGCAAGGGAAACCCATGCCACTTTACTTTTTTAAAGTAAAGAAATAAACCCTTTTGTTTTTAGTTCAATAGGAGAAAGGCTTCTTTAGCTGAGCAATTCCCTCCGAGCTATTTAAAATCCTAAAAGAGATGCTATTAAAATGATACACACAATATGCCAGCAAATTTGGGAAACTCAGCAGCAGCCACAGGATTGGAAAAGGTCAGTTTTCGTTCCAATCCTAAAGAAAGGCAGTTCCAAAGAATATTCAGAATACCGCACAATTGCACTCATTTCACATGCTAGCAAGGTTATGCTCAAAATCCTTCAAGATAGGCTTCAGCAGTATGTGAACTGAGAACTTCCAGATGTTCAAGCTGGATTTGGAAAGACAGAGGAGCCAAAAATCAAATTGCCAGCATCTGTTGGATCATAGAGGAAGGAAGGGAGTTCCAGAAAAACATCTACTTCTGCTTCATTGAGTGTGCCAAAGCCTTTGACTGTGTGGATCACAACAAACTGTGGAAAATTCTTAAAGAGATGGGAATACCAGACCACCTTACCTGTCTCCTGAGAAACCTGTATGAGGGTCAAGAAGCAACAGTTAGAACCAGACATGGAACAATAGACTGGTTCCAAATTGGGAAAGGAGTACATCAAGACTGTATATTGTCACCCTGCTTATTTAACTAATATGCAGACTACATCATGCAAAATGCCAGCCTGGATGAAGCACAAGCTGGAATCAAAATTGCCATGAGAAACATCAACAACCTTAAATATGCAGATGACACCACCCTCATGGCAGAAAGTAAAGAGGAACTAAAGAGCCTCTTGAGGAAAATGAAAGAGAAGAGTGAAAAAGCAGGCTTAAAACTCAACATTCAATAAATGATCGTATCTGGTCCCATCACTTCATGGCAAATAGATGGGGAAACAATGGAATCAGTGAGAGACTTTATTTTCTTGGGCTCCAAAATCACTGCAGATGGTGACTGCAGCCATGAAATTAAAAGATGCTTGCTCCTTGGAAGAAAAGTTATGACAAACCTAGACAGTGTATTAAAAAAGACTCCACTTTGCCAACAAAGGTCAGTATAATCAAAGCTATGGTTTTTCTAGTAGTCATGTATGGATGTGAGAGGTGGACCATAAAGAAGGCTGAGTGCCAAAGAATTGATGCTTTTGAACTGTGCTGCTGGATTAAGACTCTTGAGAGTCCCTTGGACAGCAAGGAGATCAAACCAATCAATCCTAAAGGAAATCAACCCTGAATATTCATTGGAGGGACTGATGCTAAAGCTGAAGCTCCTATATACTGGCCACCGGAGGCAAAGAGCCAACTCATTGGAATATACCCTGATGCTGGGAAAGACTGAAGGCAAAAGGAGAAGGGGGCAGCAGAGTATAAGATGGTTAGATAGCATCACAGACTCAATGGACATGAGTTTGAGCAAACTTCGGGAGATAGTGAAGGACAGGGAAGTGTGCTACTGTTCATGGGGTCACAGAGAGTCAGACAGGACTTAGCAACTGAACAATAGGGCTTGTCAAATCAACTCTCTGACCTAAGGACTCCACCTAGTGGTTCTCTCTGGAATGAAGTGAAGTTTGCATTGTTTGGTTCTTTTTTATTTCGAAAAAACCACAAAGCAAAATTACAGAACAGTTGACCAGTTTGAAAACAAATTACTGACATACTACCCTATCACCCCCTAAATACTTTAGATCATTTCCTATAAACAAGTATCTTCTCCTACATAACCACAGGAATCAGGAAGTTGACATTAATACATTTCTACTGTCCATCCTCTGACTGGATTCACCTCTTACTAGCTGTCCTGATAATGCCCTTAGCACAAGGGTTCAGTTTACATCATACTCTGCACATACTCCTCATGGCTCTCATCTCCTTCAGTTTAGAATAGTTCCTCAGTTCTTTGACTTTCGTGACCTTGAACATTTTCAAGATGACCAGCCCTCGGCCTAAGTCCTGAAGTGTGTGCTTGTCTGAAGTTTCCTCACATTTCCATTCAGGTCAAGCATCTTTGACATGAATCTGTAAGAAGCAATGCTGTGTTCTTCTTATTGCATCCTAGTAGGTGATACAGGACTTTGATTTATTTCATTATGGGTGACGTTATCTTTAATCACGTGAAGAGGATTCCCCCCTCCCTGGGCTATGAAGCAGAAAATGTTTTCCTGTCCCAGACCTACATGACCATAGTAAAACTGCCCCCACCCCCTGCCCAAAGGAGGACAAGAGACGCTGTCAATGGGTAGGGCTTCCTGAGGTAAGAACTTCTCCTTCCACTGATGTCTCTTCTTGAATTGGACCTTTTGGAAGCTCGTTTCATTTCATTTCATGCAAAGATGGGCACAATAAAGGACAGAAATGGTATGGACCTAACAGAAGCAGAAGCTATTAAGAAGAGGTGGCAAGAATACACAGAAAAACTATACAAAAAAGATCTTCACGACCCAGATAATCACGATGGTGTGATCACTCACCTAGAGCCAGACATCCTGGAATGCGAAGTCAAATGGGCCTTAGGAAGTATCACTATGAACAAAGCTAGTGGAAGTAATGGAATTCCAGTTAAGTTATTTCAAATCCTAAAAGATGATGCTGTGAAAGTCTTGCATTCAATATGCCAGCAAATTTGGAAAACTCAGCAGTGGCCACAGGACTGGAAGAGGTCAGTTTTCATTCCAATCCCAAAGAAAGGCAATTCCAAAGAATATTCAGACTACCACACAATTGCACTCATTCTCACACACTAGCAAAGTAACACTCAAAATTCTCCAAGCTAGGCTTCAGCAATACGTGAACCGTGAACTTCCAAATGCTCAGCTGGTTTTAGAAAAGGCAGAGGAACCAGAGATCAAATTGCCAACATCCATTGGATTATCGAAAAAGCAAGAGAGTTCCAAAAAAGTATCTACTTCTGTTTTATTGACCATGCCAAAGTCTTTGACTGTGTGGATCACAACAAACTGGAAAATTCTTAAAGAGATGGGAATACCAGACCACCTGACCTGCCTCCTGAGAAATCGGTATGCAGGTCAAGAAGCAACAGTTAGAACTGGACATGAAACAACAGACTGATTCCAAATTGGGAAAGCCGTCAAGGGTGTATGTTGTCACCCTGCTTATTTAACTTATATGAAGAGTACATCATGAGAATTGCTGGGCTGGATGAGGCACAAGCTGGAATCAAGATTGCTGGGAGAAATATCAATAACCTCAGATACGCAGATGACACCATCCTTATGGCAGAAAGTGAAGAAGAACTAAAGAGCCTCTTGATGAAAGTGAAAGAGGAGAGTGAAAAAGTTGGCTTAAAGCTCAACATTCAGAAAACTAAGAGCATGGCATCCGGTCCCATCACTTCATGGCAAATAGATGGCGAAACAATGGAAACAGTGACAGATTTTACTTTTGGGGGCTCCAAAATCACTGCAGATGGTCTGCAGCCAAGAAATTAAAAGACGCCTGCTCCTTGGAAGAAAAGTGATGACCAACCTAGACAGCATATTAAAAAGCAGAGACGTTACTTTGGCAACAAAGGTCCATCTAGTCAAAGCTATGGTTTTTCCAGTAGTTATGTGTGGATGTGAGAGGTGGACTATAAAGAAAGCTGAGTGCCAAAGAACTGATGCTTTTGATCTGTGGTACTGGATAAGACTCTTGAGAGTCCCTTGGACAGCAAGGAGATCCAACCAGTCTATCCCAAAGGAAATCAGTCCTGAAAATTCATTGGAAGTACTGATGTTGAAGCTGAAACTCCAATACTTTAGCCACCTGATGTGAAGAACTGACTCATTAGAAAAGACCCTGATGCTGGGAACGATTGAAGGCAGGAGGGGAAGGGGACGACAGAGGATGAGATGGTTGGATGGCATCACCGATTCAATGGATATGAATTTGAGTAAACTCCAGGAGTTGGTGATGTATAGGGAGGCCTGAGGTCCTGCAGTCCATGGGGTTGCAGAGAGTCAGACACGACTGAGCGACTGAACTGAACTGAAATCAAAGCATTAGTGCAATACCACCACAGGTCCACCAGAATCACTAAAATTATAAAGACTGACAGTGCCAATGAAGCTGACATTGGAAGTGATGGAAACCATTACACACCACGAGAGTGTGGAAATGATTTCAGCTTCTTGGCAGTAATGGTCAGGCATCATTTATTGATGATGCCACAGCCGGTATCCCGTCAGCTCCACTCCTGGGGAATACAGGCGCAGCTGCATCAAATCCATACACAGGAAGATTCACAGCAGCGTTACGGAGCACCTCCGGAACTGGAGCAACCGGAGCAACCAGAGGGTAAGGTGAGAAGCAATATGGGTATGTTATGGTATGAGAGGTACAATGGAATTCCATACAGTAGCAAGTAAACAAAGCACTGCTGCCTGCAACCTGGATAGATCGCAGGCAGGACACAGAGCCGAAGAAACCAGGCCCAGAAGCGGACTGCACCAGTCTCTATGAAAAGCAAGCAAAACGAATCCGTGGTGTGGGATTCGCAGCTGCCTTTGGGGGCGAGATGGGAAGGCGGGTATGGGAGGTGGTTTCCGAATAGTGTTTCTTCAGGTGTGCTCTCGCTGCTGCAGACCTCTGATCTGCGCACTTCCCTGCGTGTCAGGCTTCAGCAAGAACATCTTAACTCTCCAGCGGCGGAGGTGGTGATTTAGTCGTTCAGTAGTGTCCGACTCTGCGACCCTATGGACTGTAGACTGCCAGGTTCCTCTGTCCGTGGGATTCTCCAGGCAGGAATACTGGAGTGATTGCCATTTCCTCCTCCCAACTGGCCAGCGAGCACAAGCCTAACCGCAAACTGGACCGTGAGGGGTGACCCAGCCCCGGTCTGTACAGGGGGCCAAAATCCTGGACCCATCGCTGGATCCCACGAGGACAGTCACAGCCTCCCTTTCACCTCACGGTGCACTGATGCGCGAGGAACTTACCCTCGGGGGGTTTCATACTTTGTTAGCTTGCGGACACAACGCTCCGGATGCGCGAGAGGAACGGAGACACAACCAGAGGTGCAGCAAAGCGCGCGAGACGTCGGAGCCCGAGCCGGGGAGGCGGAGCCCGAGCCCGGGGGCGTGGCTCTTCGATTGATACAGCCTGGATGCCCTGCTGCGCGCGCACGCGGACGGCGATTGATGCTGCCTGGCGGCGCGCGCGGGGCACGCCGGGACGGCGGTGCGGCGGAACAAGCGGGAGGAGCGGCGGGCGGGAGGCTGCAGGATGGTGAAGCTGACGGCGGAGCTGATCGAGCAGGCGGCGCAGTACACCAACGCGGTGCGGGACCGAGAGCTGGACCTGCGGGGTGAGTCGGGTGCGGGCAGGCGGTCCGGCCTCCCCACCCGACTGGTGGCCTGGCCCAGCCCAGCCGCGTGCGCTAGGACCGCCGGAGCGTGGCCGTCAGCCTGCGTCGCCCCGTGCCGGACTGGATCCCGCTGTCGTCGGCGGAGGGCCCTCCCTGGGCCCTTCCGAGGCGCGCTCAGCCCGGGTCCTCCTTGCACACTGGGGTCATCTCGATGCTCCGGTCGCACAGCGGGCGTCTGCCGGGCCTCCGGGCGGTCTGAGCCGCTGCGGGGTAGGGGATAAACGCACGGGTGCTTGCGGCCCTCGTGCGGAGCTAACATGACGTCGTGAGGGAGTGGACGGGGTGCGGAGTGAGGGAGCGGTTTACGGGCCGGAAGCTATCGTTTCCCAGGCGTTTCCTCGCGTTGGCTTCTTCTGTCTTTTACCCTCTATCGGAGCGTTTCTGGGAGCGGACTGCGGGCGCGTAGCCGGCGCTGCCGCCTGCCGGCGGAAGCGGTGCGGAAGCCCCCGAACCGTGCGTCCTTAGGGGCGGCTTCTCTGCGGGTACGGCCATCGGTCTTGGCGTGAGATCCGCTCCCGGGGGGAAACGCCGGCTGCGGGCTCAGCCTTCTGCTGGCTTTCTTGTCCGCTGAAAGCTCAGGACTTTGGTTTTTGTTGAAATCGAGTTTCTCAGAGAAAGGTTGAACTCGGGAGTAAACAGGCAGCCTTCATTGTCTGCCTTCTTTCCGAGTCCGAAGTGCTCCCAGCGTTGAGGATTCTCGTTTGAGTCAGCGCTTCCTTTGTTGTAGCCCTTACAGCTCCTTGGCTCCATTAACTTCTTCTTCGAGTAGCTGGCACAGTCTTTATGCCCGTCTTGGACGCATCGAGGTGTTTGAGTGAGCTGTCCGCAGGGTGACTTACCGTTGTATATCAACCACTGACTTTCAGCTCTGGGTTTGAGCTGGGGGAGGTGAAGTAAGGGGGAAGTGTCTTAATACTAAGCAGATAGCCCAGTGAGTTCTAGGAATCTGGCCTGTGGGGTGCAGGCGAGGTCGATTACTGTTGTCCACCCCGTGTGGACAGTGCTTGGACGCTGACAGTCGCTCACGGTGTGAAGCCCTGTTAGGTCGCTTCTCCAGCTCCGAGGCCTTGCTTTAGAGCAGTGTGAGGCACTTGTAAGTAGTCTTGAAATGGTTAGCCGCTGGTTCCTGCTGATAAGTACTGTTATCCTTATGGCCCTCATCACCATCACCTTGCTCACATCCGCTGCTGGACCGTAAGCTTCCCGGCAGCTGGGATTTGTGACTGTTCTTCCTTGTGTTGTGTGCCAGTACCTTGGCAGGGTCTGGTGGTTGCATAGGTGCCACATAAACACTTTGGGAGGGAACGTTAAGCTATGAGTCAAGTTACCATTAAATGCTACTAATGTTTTAAGGCGCCTTTTATTTATATTAATACTTGTCTGGGTTTTTCTCCTTTTTACAGGGTATAAAATTCCTGTCATTGAAAATCTTGGTGCCACCTTAGACCAATTTGATGCCATTGATTTTTCTGACAATGAAATCAGGAAACTGGATGGTTTTCCTTTGTTGAGAAGACTGAAAACATTATTAGTGAACAATAATAGAATATGGTAAGCGTGTGCTAGTGGAAAGTAGCTTTCCCCCCTAGAGCAGATGCTGCAGAGTTCCTTGAAGAAACTGCAGTGTATATGCCAGTTAAACTAGATTTCTATTCTTTTACCTGCCTGTTTCTTAAATGGTAAGTGAGCATTTTCCCCATAGATTCAGAGTTTAATTTGTCATTGGTCAAGTCTTATTTGCATCTATTCAGAAACCTGATATATTTATATATTCATAGTAAGTTTCTAATTTAATTTAAATTAAAAATCTGGTGCTTTGTACACATTTTAGCTCATTTCTAAAATAATTATAATTATCAGAGGGGTGATATTAAGGAGATACATAAAATTCAGCAATTATAGTTTTAACTGAGTATCTCATTTTACCTCAAATCCTCTGGTATTTGTTTTTCTTTAACTGCAGCTGATATGTAGAATATTGTTTATAGAATTAAGATTTTATTTTTTTACCCACTTTCATCATCTCTGCGGGCTTTCCAGATGGCTCAGTGGTGAAGAATCTGCCTGCAGTGCAGACAGGGGTTCAATCCCTGAGTTGGGATGATCCCCTGGAGGAGGAAATGGCAACCCACTCCAGTATTCTTGCTGGGAAATCACATGGACAGAGGAGGCTGGCAGGCTATAGTCCTTAAGGTCCCAAAGAGTCGGACATGACTGAGCACACGTGCGCACACACACATCATCTCTGTAAATTTTGTTGGAAAAAAGTTATTGAAGGTGTGTTGATAGGGTCTTTAAGAAGTTCTGGGTGGTAAGCTGCTTTTTTTAAATAGGCACATTTCTCCTAAACTGTTGACTGTGGTTTGGTTATTGTGTATCCTGTGCTTCTGAGCTATGACCACAGAAGCATGTGTATTTCTGTGCTTCCTGCTCATAGGTCCTGAGATGAGTGAGGTTGTTTGTGTCCACAATACTTCCTTGTCTTGGGGCTAGTATGGTGGCGGGAAGAGGGCGCAGCAGCATTCAGGAGGCGTGGGTTCTCAAATCATCCTGCTTGTGTGACCTCAGACACGCCTCCTCTTTGTTTTCCTTCTGTCAGATAGTGTTGAAAGGAGGATCTGAGGTTCTTCCCACTTAGAAGTCCTCTGGGCAAGTGCTTAGGTCAAGTTTTTAGCTTACTGCATTTTCACTTTTATTAAGATTTTGTCTTTTCCTTTTAGCCGTATAGGTGAGGGGCTTGATCAGGCTCTGCCCTGTCTGACAGAACTCATTCTCACCAATAACAGTCTTGTGGAACTGGTAAGTCAAATGGGGAAAGTGTATTTACAGGGGGGAATTAAAGGCACTGCCTGCCTTTAATAGAAAACTTGGAGAGTCCAGAAGATTATTTCATCACCTTTTTTCTTTTTCTTCATTATTAGGACGTGGGCTTTTTTTGGTTGTGTGTTGCACATTATCTTCCACTCTCGCTCACTCACCTTTGGACTCTCCTGGGGGCTTGATGGAGTAGTTCCTAATTACAGCATAATCTGTGTCACGGGTCTGTCATCGTTGGTGCTTTGAGTTCTGTTCAGCTTCTAAAGAGACTTACCCATCTTTTTGCTAGAATTTCTGTGTCCAGTATGCTAGCCACCCGCCACAAGTGGTTACTTTAAATTAAGATATACTAGAAGTATAAAAAACACTACAGATTCCAGAGACTTAGTGCAAAAGAAAAATATTATACACTATCAATAATTTTTTATATAGACATTAAAATTGTAATATTTTGGAAAATAAGTAAAACAATATATTATTAAAACTAGTGTCTTCTGTTTTAATGTCAGTACTAGAAAATTACATATGTGACATACATTAAATTTTGTTGGGGAGTTTTATTCAAGAGATTATTGTTTTACTCCACATTTAGATCAACAATCATTTGAGACTGGTGTTCTTTTAAGATAAGGGGCAAGTTTCATTTTCTCTATTTAGATATGACTATTTTGATCTGCTTCTGCTTTTTAAATTTCTACTCTGTATGTATAATTTTTAACAGTGTTGAGCTTAGGCTATATATTGTTTTTGTAACCTAAATTTTTCACTTAAATACTGGATGTTGACATTCTTATGGAGTGACTTGATTTTAGGTTGCTGTGCCCTTGACCCCTCCCTTCCTTGCTCCCTGACTGTTACTTTCCTGAGGGACGAGGTCCCTGAGTGTCCTTCAGATTTCCAAAGGAGTGCTTGGCTCCAAAAGTCAGAAAGCCCCCAATCTGAGGGCATGTCCTTTTTAAACTCCATTAGGTATTTAACCCCAAATGTGCATCCATGCAGAATGTGTGGAATATTGGGGCAGTAGATTCTGTGTGCTATAGTTGTGCTTAAAGCTGTTTGAAAAGATGAAGGCTGTCCTTTCAGTACTGAAAGAGGCATATTAAAATTGTGTGGTAGTGGATTTCCCTGGAGTTCTGTTGGTTTTACTCGTATATATTTTCAGGTTACTTCATTTGATATATCCAGATTTTTATGTATCTTACTGATGAAATGAACCTTTTATCATTTATATTTTATTATAAAATAACAATAATTTTACCTTGGTGTCTATTTTATCCACTGCAGTATAACAAAACAAGCTTTCAGTTAGTATTTGCGTGATCATTGTTTTCCATCCAAAATTTGATTTTTTTCCTCTGCACTTATATTTTAAATTTGTCTTGAGAACAAAATTTGATAGGATCCTTTTTAAAAATCCAGTCTAAAGTCTGTCTTTTAAATGGAATAGTCTGTTTATGTTTAATGTAATACCAGTATATTTAAGTTTATCTTCTCTCTTATCTAGAATCTTTTCACTTGCCCCATCCATCTGCAAATTTTTTTCCTCTCCTTTATTGCTCTCTCTCTTTTTGGTATTCTACTTCTTCTGATAGTTTAGAAATTAACTGATTATTAAATAGACTATTTTCTTAGCATACTGGGAATTAGCATCCAAGTGTAAAGTTAACCTTAACCTTTACCTCCTGAATGAAACAGCACCGTACGCATCTCACCACCCCCGCATCGAGATATCACTGTGTCGTGCACAGTCTGTGTGTGGGTCTGTGTGCATCAAGTTACCATTCTTTCGTTTTTTGCAGCTTTATTGAGATATGATGGACAAATGAAGATTATAAATATTTAAGGTGTATAATACGAAATTTGATATCTGTACCCTGACACCCACCCTTTCATGTAACCCTCTGTGTGTGTGTGCAGTGAGAACACTTGAGTTCTATTTTTTTTTTATCATAACTGGGTACACCTTATGTTATTTTTAATGGTAGTCACCACATTGTACATTAAATCTCCAGAATTTATTTATAACTGAAAGTTTATCCTCTTTAATCAGCAGCTTCACCCCCCTTTTCCTCCACCTCCCAGCCTCTGGTAACCACCATTCAACTCTGTTGCTATGAGTTCCGTTTTTTGAGATTTCACATAAAAGTGAGGTCCTGCAACATTTGTCTGTCTTTGCTCCATTTCACATTGTTCTGTAGATCTCCTTCAGAGGTGCTGCGCTTGCTGTTCTTTTCAGATTGTTCTGTAGATCTCCTTTAGTGATGGTACTGTAGTTGCAAGCATCAGCGCTCCCTCCAGTGTCATCATGAAGAGTGGCAGCTCTCTGAGCTTGTGGCTCTGTTCCCCTCCCGTGTTACTTGTGCTTTTCCTCATTGTCCCTTTTGGTGCTGCCCCACTCAGTTTAGATCTGCTCTGGCAGTTTCTCGTTCAGGTGGGGCTGTTTCAGGAGGCCCTCCAGGCCTCGTCACACACCTGCTGTGCTTGTGCTTGGAACATGCCTGTCTTTGGCTGCTGTTCTTAGGCTGGGTGCCTGTTGCCCCCTTTGCCTTTCCCCCGCTTCTTCCTGTGTGGTGTCATCACTGTGCAAGTCTTATAGCTCTCACAATAGTTGGTCCTTACTGGTCCCAAGTTCAGGTTCTTGCCAGAATACATTTTCATCTGGTTTGGCTGTAGCTGTTGACCATATCTTTTTGGTTTTCCTATCCTTGTTGCACTGTATTTTATAGGACAGTTTGGGAAGATTGAAAAACTAATTTGTGTTCTTCCTCTCTATATATATATAATCTCCCCCCCGCTTATAACTATAGTCCTTGTCTTTGGAAAATGTATTTGAAGAGATTTAGGGGAACCTAGAATAAAGGTGACAAAGATGACATGCCCACATTGCTGCCAGGCAGCGGCAGGAAGAACCACCTCACACCAGGTTCCCTGTATGAATAACTTTCCCTGGAGATACATCACTTTTCACATTGCTTTTTTTTTTCTGTCATTACTCAGTAGCTCTTTTAAGTTGATACAGGAAATGATATATATTTTTTCTTTTCGTCTCTTCTGCTGTTGAGACAGAAGTTCTTGTGTCTGGGATATTAAGAAGTTCAAATTTATGAAGCAGTTATTCAGTAGAAATATACCAAGCGTCTGTTATGTGCTAGGGCTGTGCTGGGTGCTGGGGCAGGAAAGACAAATTAATGTATGAAAGACAAGGTGTGTCCTTACTGCAGAGGTGTCAGCATGTCATGGGATCATGGTGAGCTGTGGTGTTTGTGTTCTTACCTGTGGCTGTTATTTCACAGGGTGATCTGGACCCTCTGGCATCTCTCAAGTCACTGACTTACCTGAGGTATGGAAACTATTTGTGGTAGTGACAATAAAGTCTTTTAAAATAACACCATTGCTGGCCTTGATGGTAAAGTTATAGTAAAAAGTATGTTTAAAAAAACAAATATTGAAAATGTTTTCTTTGGGCTCTATTAAAATTTCCCTAGCATTAAGTTCTTATGACATTGAAATGTGAAGAATAGTGAACTTTTCCTTACTTCCTGGACACTAGACTTTATTAAAATAGACCTCTTGAATGCTATGCTAGGAACAAGACTGGCATCAAACTGTTCCTTTTCTTGTAGTATCCTAAGGAACCCTGTAACTAATAAGAAGCATTACAGACTCTATGTGATTTATAAAGTTCCACAAGTCAGAGTACTGGATTTCCAGAAAGTGAAACTAAAAGTAAGTGTTTCTCCGTTGTAAGTTGTTATTGGTTGGTGCTTTTCCTTTATACTTTTGTTACTGACTTTTATTATTAGTTTGTAATAAGAATGCGGGGAGCGGGGACGGGGAGTGTTCAGTTGATTTATTTTCCATAGCAGTGTTTATGGTGGGACTTAAGAGTTAAGGTGTGTGTGTGGGGCTGGTCATTCCAGAGGTGGCCTGGCTTCAGAGCCACCATGGGCTTTGTCACAGTAGACAGCCTGCCTAGATACATGCTCTTGGGGAGCTTCATGTTGTTCACTTAGCACTAGCTGTAATTGTCAGGATGATTCTCTCTTTGTTAGGGATTTTTTTAATCTTATTTCCCAGAGAGCCCCTCCTGGAAACTCGGAGAGGGGGCTCTGCTCTCTCTAGGAACCTTCACAGCAGGGGACTGCTGTATCTCTTATTTTGAAATGGGCTCTGTGGTATTTTACCAGCCCAGAGTATTCCAGGAGAGTTTTCTTCCATGTTTTCTGAGGAATGCATCTAAATGCACGTGGTATTCCTATTTCCATTAACTCTGTGTGTGGTGTCGCTGTAGGAGCGTCAGGAAGCAGAGAAAATGTTCAAGGGCAAACGGGGTGCACAACTTGCAAAGGATATTGCCAGGAGAAGCAAAACGTAAGATCCAGATATCCAACTTCACTCCACTTCACCTTCAGAAACATTATCTGTCTGGCATTTTGCCTCTTGCGAAATGAAATGAAACACCTGTAACTAATACAGTCCTAAAATTTGCACAGTGATGATCCGTGGCCCACCGTGGCCCCTATATCACGTGAGATTTCTACCAGATGAGAGCGGATGCTCCAGTATTCAGTCTGCCATGATAGTACTGCACCTTCTTCCTCTGTGGCAAGATGAACTGGGTGGTGTTTCTGAAGGAGAGAGTTTCTTGTATCAGTTTGTTAACAAAGATAAGATACTACACTGGTTGAATTACTTTCAAAGCTTTTGAAAGTAAAAGAGAAGCAATTTCTGTCAGTGTGGATTTGACATTTTGTTCTTCCCTCCCCGCCCAAGTTTCAATCCAGGTGCTGGTTTGCCGACTGACAAAAAGAAAGGTGGGCCGTCCCCAGGGGACGTGGAAGCCATCAAGGTGAGCACGAATCAGGATTCTCAGACTGGAGTGAGCTGTTCAATCATGTACTGACTCAAGTAATGAGTTAGAAACCACAGGTTTCTCCCAGTTGTTAGAATCCAGCTATATTTCTGTGTAAGGAAAAACTAGCTTAAAGATATTATTTAACCAGATTTTGCTTGAATTAATTAGATGAGCCAGTCAAAGTGGAGGCAACTCTGGTCTTCTCATTTTCTCAGGATGCATTTATCTGAACAGTTAGTTCCCTTTGCTTGCTGTCTTGATTTTTACTGTGAAGGACTTGCTGCCTGAAAGATCCTGCTTAATGAAAAATCCTAATTTGGTAATACTGCCTCCTAAATCATCCAGTGGCATAATTCCAATTAACCAGAATTTTAGGGCACATGCGCTGATTATTTGTTCTCCTATAAGAGGGTCTGCAGCTTTTTACCAATTTGGGAACTTCATAATTTGGTTTTGGGGTTGATTTCACTGTGCCAGCAAAATTCTTCCTGCGAGAGAGACTATTTAATATTCCAATTCAGAAAGATGGCATGAGTTTCTGTGAGTGTTTTCTGTTAACTGGATGAAAATAACTGTCCATCTCTCTTGTTTCCTGGTGTCCAGAATGCTATAGCAAATGCGTCAACTTTGGCTGAAGTGGAGCGGCTGAAGGGCTTGCTGCAGTCTGGTCAGATACCTGGCAGAGAACGCAGAGCAGGTCAGGAACCACTTTCTGTCTTCCTTTCCAGATTAATGATACACTCCTAGTGATCGCAAATTGCTTTAGATGCTACGATCCAAGGATGCTCAAATAGTGCCTCCTTACCATTATAATCTACACAAAATGCCTTTAAATGCTCTTTGAAAAGAAATCATTTGATAAAGAAGCTTATGTCCTAGGACTCTGGGGTTTTTGTGAAAGTTGAGACAAGTGTTAGTTCACAGCCATGGAGTGAAAGCGAACAGTGGAGGTGACCATGATGCCTTTGACCCCTGTCCATGTGGGCCCACTTAGCAGTGGAGAGCATGGGCTCTGGAGCCAGACAAACTGAGGCTCAGAGCGTAGCTTCACCAGCTTTGTCCTTGGATGAATTTCTTAACCCCACTTGATCTTAAATCTGTTTGCTCATCTTTAACCAAATAGTAGTAGTGGTGGCCTAAGAAGGTTGTTGGAAGGACTTAAGTAAGGGGCTTCCTAGGCCCTGAGCACCAGGTGTAAGCTGTTCTGATTGTGGACACCAGCTCTGTGTTGGGCAGCATGATGGACACTGACTGGGGTGTAAAGTGAAAACTGCTACAGACAGTGCATGTTACAAGTTTGACATGAATGTAACTGGGGGCTCTGTCTAGACCAGTGGCTCAGGGCAAATTCCCTTGAGGAAATAATGTTTGAACTGAAGCTAGAAGTGAGTAAGACATTCATTAGAGCAGCAGTTTTCACTGTGTGGTCCTTGGGCCCCTGGGGCTCCATGAGGAAAACTTACAAACACCGAGGCATTCTTTGCTTTTTAAGTGTAACCATTTGTGCCTGATAGTGCCAGAGCAATGGCAGGTAGAGTTGCTGGTGCCTCAGCCCAGGTGCATGGGTTCACAGGGCCAATGATACTAGGTGTCATTCTGAGCTGCCGTGCACCCAATGAGGTCCTTTGTGAAGCAGTGAGGATTGTTGGTGTTCCTGGATATCACCCCAGGGACACATCGTTTGATGTGAAGAAATGGGCCAACATTTGCAATCTAACCTTTAAGAAAATACCACTTTGGGGAATTCCTGGTGACCCAGTGATTAAGACTCAGCTTTCATTGCCCAGGTTTGATCCCTGGTCAGGGAACCAAGATCCTACAAGCTAAGTGGGGAGACCAAAAGAACAAAAGCGAAAAACTAACACTTTTGTCAAGTTTTGGCACAGTATCAAAAAAATACCCATCACTGCCTGCACAGGCTGTTAAAATACTCCTCCCTTTTCTCACTGCATGTCTTTGTGGGCCTGGCTTTCTTCACACCCTTTAGTCAGAACAACATATTTTAGTGAGTAGAGTGGTGAAGGCAGAGCAAGGGGCCGTCTACTACTGGGCAGACATTGCAGAGATGGGCAAAAGTAGGAAACTGCACCAACTTTCTCACTATATATTTTTATTTTAGAAAATATTGATACTGTATTTTATAAAAATGCAAACATTAATGGTACTGGGTTTATTAAGGAATTAGTTTTTTTTAAAAATGCTTTCAGTTTTCAACATAGTATTGATAAAAAGTAATCTACTTGAAGAAAAATTCTTTGGGTGCTAAAACTAAAGTATTTGAGAACCTGTGACCTAGACAGAGCAGAATGGTATTCTCAGGGGAAGGAGCACTCTGTGGTGAGAGAGCCTTGCACCCTGGGCCTGAAGGAGGACTGTGAGCCAAGGTCCAGGGCTGTGGGGGGGAAAGGGTGAAAGAGGCTGGCAGGGAGAGCTCTGAGTCCAGTCACAGAGGGCCCTGTAGGCCATGAAATGAGGGACCTGTGATCCTGAGAACAGCACAGGCTGCCAAGACCTCCACGGGGCTGGTGACAGGCAGGGAGGAGGCTGTGTCACGTGGCTCACTTTGGCTGCAGTGTGGCAGAACTCCTCAGTTACTGTGCCTCCCCTTGAGCATGTTAGGTGGGCCTGGACTCACGTGGGGCTTTTCAGTGTCGTCTGAACACATGTTGGGTGCCTTGAGGAGAGGAAGGTGGGAATTGTTCTTGGTTCTCTAGGTTTCAGTAGGCCCAGGCGTCTGAACAGCAGTTCCCGGTGACATTCTCACTCCCAGGTGTCTGAACAGCAGTTCCCGGTGACATTCTCACTTTCTTTAGTTTTGTGTCTAGAAATGTAACGTTTGGGTCTAACTGGAAACATAATTTAGACAGAATCACTGGCTGACTATCCACATCATGTAGTAGGTATCCTCTCCCGTCTTTCTTTGGAATGCTCCCAGTTTCTTTGCCCATCGTTGTGGCAAGAACAAAACCTAAAGTATAAGCTTTTTATCTTGATAAAACATGAGTTGACCAGAGTGGGCTAGAACAGCAAGCATAGAGTTGACTTTTATGAAGCAGCTTTGTGACCCATTCCCTAGAAGCTGACCATTCTTCCAGGGCCTGCCAAAGACAGGTGGTCCCTGGACCTAAGTTCCTCTAGGCTGAGGCCGCTGTCAGGCGTCTGCACCTGGTCTAGGGTCTGGCAGGTAACAGCAGTGTCGTGGGTGGATGCCCACACATGCTCTAATCTAGGTGTGACTTCTGGCTTTGTGTGTTTTCTAGGCCCCACTGATGATGGTGAAGAGGAGATGGAAGAAGACACCGTTGCAAATGGGTCCTGAGCAGGGTGGCCTCAGCACCTCAGGACATGTAACAGTCCACCTTGGACAGGTCCTGCCTTGTTTGTTTCAGCAAAGTAGAGTTCATCAGCATTGTTGAAATGCTCAAAACTGCTGCTGGTAATTTTGTAATACAGATTTTGAAATCTAAAACCCAGTTTTCTACCAATAGTACAAATAAAGGACATTCTCTGTACTGCAGGTTGTGCGTCATTGGGGTGTGTGCAGTGAGGTGTGGATATGGGGAGTTGGAAATGCAGCAGGACGGCTCTGTGGGCAGGCTTCCCAATCCTTATGAAATGTTTCGGTTTTTAAATTCATAATAAAACTATTATCTGTGTGCTTCTACTGGTTGTTAGAATTTGCAATATCAGCTGCTTTTTTTCTTCATGAAGGATCACAAACGTCATTAAAGGCAGCCAGGCCCCAGGGCTTTGTAAGAGTCAGTGTCTTTTGAAGTTTTTGTTTAATACTCTGCACCAGCATGTGATGATAAATTGCTGATTTGGACAGTTAGAGGGAATTTGACATCTGCCTGTCAGTCGGTAGGATTCGAGAGATTGGGACCACCCTGGACCAGGGCTTCCCCAGCTCAGTGCACTGTGAGCCTCGGAGGTCTTGCCCAAGTGCCGAGTGCAGCTCATGGGCTCCCAGGAGCTGTCCCCCAGAGGGGACACTCAGGATCTGCTGCCCACCCTGGCCTCACCCACCTTACACCTTCAGCTTCTCCAGGGACCAGTCCCTGTGGTCTGTTTGCTGACTTGTTATAGAAAGCACTTCCCTTGCTTTTTGCAGGTAGAGTGTGATATGGGGTCTGACCTGTTCTGTGAGCAAATCGTATTCCTGGATGACTGCCGTGTCAGGAACCAAGATGTGTGCTCAGCTCCTGGCTGCACCAAGAGGGCTGCCCTGCAGGGGCCAGGCTGCTGGGGTCTGAGTGACACTTGCATTTTCTGATGGAAAGCAGAATTCAGGCCTGCCAAGCAGTTTGTGTGCAACTTGCTTTCAAAGGGTGTTTCAAGGGATGAAGTTCAAAACCCCAAGTGGTATCCCTTTAGCTCCTGATAGTGAGGTTACAGCATGTTTGGTTTTCACTCAGCTTGGAAGGATTTCAGTACTGTGATTGCTAGGGCTGTGTCCATCATCAGTTTGGGCACATTTCCCTGAGGGACCTCTTACACCCCCACCAGCCTACCTCCTCCCCCGCCTCCCGGCCCCGTGCTTTGTCTTTGAAAACTCCCACCAGGAAGGGTTGACAATCTGTGACTTGACCAAAGCACTGGACTGCAGAAATGTCACAGCCATTCCAGCCTGCCCCTGCCAACTGACTGTTACCCCCTCAACGGAACCAAGAGGGGGTTGAGAAAAGGAGAGAGGAAGAAAAGTGTCCTGTGAAAGCCCTGCTCCATTCCAGGGACCACCCCAACATACTAGCCTGGCCTTGCTCCCCTCTCCTGTCTGCACTCGCCACAGAAATACCATTTTATAGAGGACATGATGCTGTATGGAGAAAATCCTAAAGACACTCAGAAAACTACTGAAGCTTGTTAATTAATTTGGCAAAGTTGCTGGATACAAAATTAATACACAGAAATCTGTTGCATTTTGAGACATAAACCACCAATGGAATATCAAAGAAATTAAGGAAACTTTCACATTTACCATTGCATCAAATAGAATAAAATACCTTGGAATAAACCTAAGAGGAGACAAAAGGCCCATATTCCAAAAACTAAGATGCTGATGAAAGAAACTGACAACCATACAAATAAATGGAAAGAAAGGAGCTGGAGGAATCAGGCTCCCTGCCTTCAGACCATGCTACAGAGCTACAGTATTCAAAACAGTATGGTACTGGCACAGAAGCAGAAGTACTGATAGACGGAACAGCATTAAAGTCCAGAAATAAGCCCTTTTATGGTCCATGGGGCTGCAAAGAGACAAGACTGAGAACACACACAGTCAATCTACAACAAAGGAGACAAGGGTACAATGGAGAAAAGTCTCTTCAATAAGTGGTGCTGGGAAAAGTGAATAGGTTCACGTAAAAGAATGAAATTAGAATGTTCTCTAACACCATATACAAAGAAACTCAAAAGTGGATTAAAGACCTAAATGTAAGGCTGGGTACTATAAAACTCCTAGAGGAGAATCAGCAGAAAAAACACTGACATAAATCGCAGAGAGATCTTGGATATGTCTCCTAGAGTAATGGAAATAAAAATAAATAGGACCTAATTAAATGCTTTTGCAAAGGAAACCATAAATACAATGAAAAGACAATCTACAGAGTGGAAGAAAATATTTCCAAATGATGCAACCAACAAAAGATTAATTTCCAAAATAAATTGCTCATGCAGCTTAATATCAAAGAACCCCAGTCAAAATCAAATTTCTATGGCTGCTTTTCTTTGAAGGAGAATGATATTCTTTCACACTTCCTAGAATCCTGATTAAAAGATAAATCCATCAGATAAATAGAAACTATTTTTAAAATAGAGGGATAGAAATTTCATCTGTAAACACACACTGTGGAAAAAGAGTACTTTTTTTTCTTTTAAAGATCAGAGTTTTGTAAATTTTATGGATAGTAAAAATTGTTCCAGGGACTTCCCTGGTGGTCCATCAGCTAAGAATGTGCCTTCCAATGCAGAGAACATGGGTTCCGTCCCTGGCCTGGGAACTAAGATCCTTTATGTCATGGGGCAACAGAGTCCATACTCTAGAATCTGACTGCCACAAGTAGAGAAGCCCACACGCCACAATGAAAGATTCTGCATACCGCAACTAAGACCCAACACACCCAAATGAATAAATATTTTAATAAATTCTTCCATCAAACTTTCTACAATCAGCATTTCCAGCATTGTGCTGTTTTAAATTCTTAATTTCCCATGGTCAGTGACCAACAGCAGAGGTCATCAGGAGGTCAACTTTAAACCACCCATGGACATGAAAGCCTTAACTACTGATGTTCAAGCCAGACGTCCTCAGGAGAACCATATCTCCAGAATCATGAGCGAGTTTTTTCACTAATCATGGAGTCCTGGGGAAGTCAAAGGATATTCTCCATTGAGAATCAAACTTTGTCAATCCCTCTCTTGGGTTCATTGCTTTGAATATTTGACCCAAAACCCAGATGTCTACTGCACCATGTTCAATTCTACAAGCTTTGTAACTGGCACCTTTGCAGTGGAAGAGCAGCAAGTGCAACAGTGATATCCTCTGACACCCCTGGAGTCAGAAGTTTTAAAGGCAAAAGAAAGTGATACTTTTCCTGAGCAAAAAGAACAGAGGCATTTAAATTTAGCTTACAGTCTGTCCTATCCCTTAACTGTCACATATGCTCCACCCCATAAGCCTGAGTTCAGGGTGAGTTGTTCAGAGATTGTATTATGATGCATAAAGTATTTTTTATTTAAAAATGTTACTAGTTTGTTAAAAAGTGATGGAGTGAGCATGTGCATGTGTGTTTAGTCACTCAGTCGTGTCTGATTCTTTGGCTCACCAGGCTCCTCTGTCCGTGGGATTCTCTAGGCAAGACTACTGGAGAGGGTTGCCACTTCCTATGTCATCGGATCTCCCCCACCCAGGGATTGAACCTGTGTCTCTTGCCTTGGCAGGTGGATTTTTACCACTAGTGACACCTCAGAAGACCAGAGTGAGCATAATACTTCTTAAATTTCATGATTTCTTTCCCCCAGAATACTGAGATGGACAGCCTTGAAGTCCAATTTCTTCATAAGAGTCTTTATCCAAGAATAGCATTAACTTCACTATAAAGCATATAATCCCCACAAAAGAAATGTTAAAAATTGCTTGCTATCTAAGAGAAAGCAAGATAAACTGAGCAGTTAGCTATCAGTGTAATAAATTTTTTACATGAATCTTACTGCAGCAGTGTCTATGATAAATAGTGAAGCTGGACATCATCAAATTTCTATCAAAGGAAGAATAGTTAGACAAATCATAGTATAACAAATAACTGGGAATTAAGAATGAAGAGATGATTTTATTAATAATCATTGAAAAAAGCAAAGCTTTCACAGGGAAATAAAGGAATTAAAAAGGATAATTCAGCCTTTTGGTTTCTGGTTTGGCATGTGAAGAGTTTGGAAGCTGCCATTCTAACAAGTGAAAAACTAAACCGAAAATCAGTAATTTTAATAATGGCTCTGTTAGAGCCATCAGAAAAGTGAGGTAGGTCAGAAGGCCAACACCAGGCCTGGGGTCTCAGAGACAGACAGGTGGGCTCTGATGCACCGGAGCAGAAATGCACATGGACACCAAGGAGGAAACCTGAATCACAATCAACAGATGCTGGAGACTCAGTGCAGCCAGTCTGAGACTTAAAATCTTTGGGGAGGCCCAGTATGATGAGGGTTCCCCCCAGCTTTCTGGGTCTTACCTTCAGAATTCTACTTGGTTCTTGCACTGAAAAAGGAGACAGTGTGCTCCACTTCTAGCAGGGGAGAAAGAAACTGTCCTGAAGTAGGCCCAACAGCATTTTATTCTTCATAATGAGGCCTGCCCTCAAGAAACCCTAAACAACTGGGATTTAACACAACACAGCTAAGCTGTATTAACTAGACAGTATACTAGAAAGCAAAGACATCAGTTTGCTGACAAAGGTTCATTTAGTCAAAGCTATGGTTTTTCCAGTAGTCATGTAAAGATGTGGGAGTTGGATCATAAAGAAGGCTGAACACCGAAGATTTGATGCTTTCAAACTGTGGTGCTGCAGATGACTCTTGAGAGTCCCTTGGATCAAACGAGATCAAACGAGTCTATCCTAAAGGAATTCAACCCTGAATATTCATTGGAAGGACTGATGCTGAAGCTCCAATACTTTGGCCACTGGATGTGAAGACCCCACTCATTGGAAAAGAGCCTGATGCTGGGAAAGATTGAAGGTGGGAGGAAAAGGGGGCAACAGAGGATGAGATGGTTGGATGGCATCACCAACCCAATGGACATGAGTTTGAGCAAGCTCCAGGAGATGG